CTATAGATTTGTCTTTACTAGACATTTCATTAAAATAGAAGTATATACTTTCTGGCCCTTTGTGTCTGGCATGCTGTTTTCCAGGCTCATCCACATTGTGGCGTACAAACTTCATTCCTTTCAAGAGTTGTAATGGAACATGCCACCGTTTGTTTATCCACTTAGGAGATGTCTTCCTTTCTTCAACCCCCATATCCATCTGTAAATAGTGCCCATTCTACTTCCAAAGTACACAGTTTATGCATGGATGACCCCTCACTATCTCAGGAGCCTCTAACCGTCTTCCTGCTTGCATTGTTTCTCTCACCTCCAGTTCATCTTCCACACAGCAGCAAAAGTGATCTCAAACAAATTAAATTGTATTACTTCTTGTCTTAAAACCCTTCAGTATGAAAGAACTGGCCAGGCGTGGTGGCTCACACCTTAATCTCAGCACTTTGGGAGGCTGAGACAGGCAGATCACTTGAGGTCAGGAGTTCAAGACCAGCCTGGCCAACATAGCAAAACGCTGTCTCTACTAAGAATACACAAAAACAGCCAGGTGTGGCCCACACCTGTAATCCTAGCTACTCAAGAGGCTGAGCGACAAGAATCACTTGAGCGCAATCACTTGCAGTGAGCTGAGACTCACTCTTTTAAAAAAGACAAACAAAAAACTCCTTAGTGTGGCCTGCTTGCAAAGCCCTGCATCCCTACATGAGGGTGTTGCAAATTGTAATGCCTTCAGGGACTGGGATACAAACATGGGTGGAGCTGGCAGGGCAAGGGCCAGTTTGGAGTGCTAGGTCCTAGGGCTGATTGTAGCATGCACCTCCCACCTCAGGACCTTTGAAACAAAACATAATGGGGCATCCCTGCCCTCTCATCCCTCCCTGCATGGGAGATCAGGGCCCAACTCCTTAATGTTACTCACTCTCCCACTTAGTTTTCAGACAAAGTGATTTTGCATTTTCTCAAACATGTCACACTTTTTCTCATGAGGCCTTTGTGCAGGCTGCCTACCAGCTGGTATCTCTTCCCCAACCCCTCACATGCTAGCTCTGCCCCTCTTTGCTACACACTCTCTTTCCCTTCTCCGTTCATTTGGTTTTTGTTAGAATACAGTGTCACCAAGTGCAAGGACCCCATCCATCTGATTTGCCTTTCTACTTCCAGCACTTAGCACAGCAGCTGACACAGTTCCAATGAGAATGGTGTGTCTTTCCGCTTGTATTAATAGTAAAGCGTTTGTCTTTTTTTTTTTTTTTTTTTTTTCAGATGGAGTCTTGCATCTTGCTCTGTCACCCAGGCTGGAGTGCAGTGGCATGATCATAGCTCCCTGTACCCTCTGGCTCCCAAGTAGCTGGTATTACAGGCATACACCACTGTGCCCGGCTAGTTTTTGTATTTTCATTTTTGTATTTTATTTTTTTTAGTAGAGATGGGGTTTTACCATGTTGGCCAGGCTGGTCTCCCGCTCCTGACCTTGTAATCCATCCGCCTCAGCCTCCCAAAGTGCTGGGATTACAGGCATGAGCCATTGTGCCCAGCCTGCATTTGTCATTTTAATGTGTGTTCAAATATGTATCTGGAGAGTAAATCACAAGAAAACAAAGGATAATCTCTAAGTGAAATAGTGCTTTTATGGGATTTCACACTTGTTTTTGTAACAGCTATCTTTACCAGTACTGTGTAGTCACAAGAAGGAGGAGCATAGGGTGGAAATATGAACATCCTGATAGAGAAGAGTATTGATCTCTTTTTGTTGCATATAATCTTGTGGGCATAGCGGTTTTCTGGATTCTCAGATCTACCTCTTTGCACTCAGAGTGCTCCCTACCATGGTTCTTCCTTTATCACCATTTGTTCCCTCCTTCTGTGTTCCTCATTCATCCTCCAAAACAGGAATTTCCCACCAAAGAGTTCACCAAACTCAATCTCAATTTAGCCCAAAATACAAGTGTTTTAATGATTTGGAAATAATTTTATACTAATATTCTGGTCACTTAATGATGTTTATGGGCCTCATATCCTTGAAATGAAATTCACGGTGGTCATTTTCAGACGTTCTTCAAATGAGACGTTAGAATCTCAATATAAAAGAGTTACTCCAGCGAACACAGATCCAATAGAAAGTGGTCATGTTACATTTGAGAAAGTGTAAGAAATAAATTTGATGGTGCATTTTTGCTCACATTTCTCTGTTATTCTTCTCTTGTTAGGTGCTATTTCAAGTGGTTTCAGGCTGGAAGAGTCTCCATTTGTTCCCTATGACTTTATGAACAGCAGTACTTCACCAGCCAGTCCTCCAGGTTCTATAGGAGATGGCTGGCCACGTGCCAAATCGCCTAATGGCTCTAGCAGTGTTAATTGGCCACCAGGTAAAATTTTTTCTAACAGTTTCTTTCATGAGACTGTGTTTCCATTAAGGTTTTGTTACATCTGGACTTACTACTGATGTAGCCCAGATCGGCGTGATTAGACTGACCTGTGCGGATGAGAAGGAATGCAGAAGTGATAGAGGAAAAGTTAAGCATGAAGTCTTGGGCAAGTGAGTGTGTCAGCCTGTTCCCTATGCCTTTATGCTCAAGCAGCAGAGGTAGAAGTGAGTCCCATTGACCAGCATGAAGAATTCTATTAAAAATTTTAATTCATTATTTTTCTTAAGTTGTGTCAGGGAGTAACTTGCAGTGTTTTCATTTGTACATAGGAGTTAACAGAAATGCTTCTATGGCCTGCTTTGTCCTACCTGAGTTGCAGTAGCTTTGTGATTTGTCATAAAGCACTTTTAAATGTTACTGTTTAAGAATACAGGAATCCATGGCCAGGCACAGTGGCATATGCCTGTAATCCCAGCACTTGGGGAGGCTGAGCTGTGAGATCACTTGAATCCAGGAGTTCAAGGCTACAGTGAGCTATGATTGCACCACTGCACTCCAGTCTGGGTGATAGAGCAAGACCCTGTCACAAACATACATACATACATATATTCACACACACACACACACACACACACACACGTATGTATGTGTCTGTATACATACAAGTACACATGCATATATGCATATATATGTGTGTATGTGTATATTCACGTTCAGAGAGATTATTTCAGTTGTAAAAACTTGCAAGTTATTTGTAAAGAATAGCTCTATAATACTAATTATATCACTGAACCATCCTCTTAGAGTGTTAGTATAAATTGGAAAATATTTGAGAGTTGCATAGAATTTAGGAATAAAGGTTTTGGATATCTAATAATGGATTTTAAAATGATGATTAAGCTTTGAACTGATTTTATATTTCCATTTCCAGAATTTCGTCCTGGTGAGCCATGGAAAGGTTATCCAAACATTGACCCTGAAACTGACCCTTACGTCACTCCTGGCAGTGTCATAAACAATCTTTCAATTAATACTGTGCGGGAAGTTGACCACCTCAGGGACAGGAACAGTGGTACGTAGGGGTGCAAATCCATTTCTGAGTGAGAATTAACAACACAGCTTAAGAATGGTTCATGTAGTGCCAGTACTCTGGGAGACTGAGATAGGAGGATCGCTTGAGCCCAGGAGCTTGAGGCTAGCCTGGGCAACATGGTGTGGGACCCTGTCTCTTTTCAAAAAAACGAAAAAAAAGAAGAATGGCAAACAACTTCCTATTTTCCCATAGGTGGCTTTTTAATTTGGCTGCTTTTTAAATGATGAGAATTTCATCATCCTTAGTATGGCAAACATGGATATTAATTTAATAAGTTAACATGAAGGACCAGCAAACCTTTGCTTTCCAATAATTGTATTAACTGAATGAAAAAAAAAAAATGAAGTTATATTACTAACTTTATACTGAGTTACAAGATTATGATTATTTAAAAAACAAGACCTTATACTTTTATATTTATATACTGTGAATATTGAAGGACTTTTGTCTGGAAGAGCAAATTAAACTGTCTCAGAGAGTAAGAATAAGACCAATTTAAGGATCCCTGCAGTCCAGATGTGCTTTTTAATTGGTTAGCAAATAAAATTATCCTATTACCTGCCACAGGGTTACTTTTCACCTCAAGGCATTTACATGTGTTTCATCCATGATTTTGTACCAGAGGACTGTTAATGAAATGAATTTTTAGATATTAAAAAATACTTTCTTTTTAAAATACCATCTATACTTTTATAAAGCAGATGTGAAGCAGCCACCATGTTGCCTTAGACGTGTAATTTGCTGAGGTAACAAGTGTCTCTGCACCAGCGGAGAAGAGTCCTCAGCATTGCGAAGCGTCTATGTTTCACAGACAGCTCTGCCCGCTTTGGGGGACACGAAGCAAAGCATAAATTCTCACAGCATGGGAGTTAATTGAAGAATCTGATGGCCTATAGAAAGGCTCTGAAAGTCAGGAGAGTTTGGATTTGATGTTAAAGCAAATAGAGCATTGACGGCTTTGGGTGGAAGAGTCTTTAAGATGGGGTAATCTGGCTGTGGTCACCAGAGTGGTTTGGGCTGGTAGACCAGTCAGGGAACTGGTATAGTAATCCAAATGGTGGTCAGGTCTAGAGCTCAACTAGAGTAGTACTGAAGGGGGTTTTGAAAATGGAAAGCAACACCAGGTTTGGGAGCCTGAATATAGCGAGTAATGGAGAAGGCTGAAGGCTCAGCTCACTGGCAGTGCCTGCGGCTGGGTGCCTTAGAGAGCAGGCTAGCCAGTAAGAAGTCCGTGGGTCTCAGGGGCAAGTTAGGAGCAGCAAGACTCAAACCTCCTTTTAGACCCAGTGCTGGGAAGCAGAGCACAAGTGCTGTCCTGGGTGGGTGGACCTCATTGCTAGAATGCATCCTCACAGCCAGTGAGGACAAAATCAGAGGGAAAATGCCTGTGCTAAGCCAAGGCAGAGACAGCTGGCGAGCTCGCCCAGCATGCTCTTTTGAAGGCAAGAAGGAAGATGTCTCAGGCATCATCTTGTTTCCTTTCTTGTGGCATACTGTTAGACCTCGATTTCTCTGGAAGCTTTTGCTTTTTCTTAACCTCCACATCCCTTGCCCTGGTGGCTGATTGGACTTTTTCCCTCACACAGGGTCGTCCTCATCCTTGAACACCACGCTGCCTTCAACTAGTGCCTGGTCATCCATTCGTGCCTCCAACTACAACGTTCCCCTCAGCAGTACAGCACAAAGCACTTCAGGTGGGCCTCGCCTTCATTCAGGAAGGGAGGGTCATAGCCAAGGCCGCACCTGTTGTTTTAATGCCCTCTTTTTGTCCATAGTCTTCTCAGGGAGTTAAGAGATTCTGTTTGTGAGCCTGGGAAATTATTTTTTAACATCGTTTATTCCTTTTTAAACTTATTCTACCCAGCGGTCATCTACTAAAATCAGTTTTCACTGAACCACTCCCACTCACCTGAGAGCCACAGCAGCTCTGTAATTAAATGTAATTTAATCCAAACTAGTTTTCAGACTATCTTAAGTGATGGACCTTAAAAAAAAAATTGCCAGTCCTCATAGACTGATACTTTTGTAAAATACGGTAAACATGAATTCCGAATTGCTAGGAGAATGATGGCATGCTTGAGAGTTACAGGAATGTCAGGTTGCTTTTGGTCTACACATGTGCACTCTGAATTTCTGGACTCATCCTGCGGCAGATTAATATGAAACTGTGTTGTGACTGCAGCCACACCCTGAGTAGCACTGACCTAATGCACACGCACTTTGTAAGTTAAGTAAGAAAAGAGTTGATGGTGATGGAGGATAGGAATTGTTCCCTTCCTTGCTGTGCCCCCATGCTTTTAGTGTGACAGTTGATATAGTTTACTCTGTACCCGGTCCCTGCATACCACTCATGTCCCCATTCCTGCAAGGCCGTGTGCATCAGGAACAGGCCTGCTGTCTTTTTCTTTTCTCTCTTTCCTTTCTTTTTTTACTCTCTTTCCTTTTCCTTTCCTTTCCTTTCTTCCTCCATTTTACTTTCCTTTCTTTTCTTTCTTTTGTCATGCAGGCTTAGTTTTGAATCCTGGCTCTACATTAGACCCATAGACAAATTACTTACCCACTCTGTCCTCAGTAGACTGTGTCGAGATCACAGACAGCACATGCCAGGTGCCCAGCAGCCAATGCATGGCGCAGAGAGGCAGGCAGCCTGTGAAGATCTCCTGTGACAGCTCCCGATTTGGGGCTCTTTTGCAGTCCTTTCTTCCCTGAGTAAACAACAGAGTTCTAAAATTCATTTAAATGGCCTGACTTTCTTGAGTGACTCAATTATGGTTATTAAGAAATTCACAATTGCTATTTTAGAGCAATTCAAATTGTTTTCCATTTCAGTTAGAGTACGGTTTTGGACACTGGCCTAAGAATTTCATAGGTCTTAAAACGATTAATAACTGATGAATGGCTTGAGTGTTTTGAGGGAGGGAGGCAGTTTCCTTTGGGCTGATTTTCTTTTTTCTCAGTGTAGTTTGATTTGGAGGTTTTAATAGAGTTTCTTTTGTTTGTTAGGTTTGCTTTCTGTGGGAGATTGGATGTTGTTATTTAAATTTCCTCCTTTCTTAAACATTATTCCTCCCCTCTCCATTTTTTTTCCCCCTTTGAGTAGCCAGAAATAGTGATTCCAAATTGACATGGTCTCCTGGTTCAGTTACAAACACCTCTCTGGCTCATGAGCTGTGGAAGGTCCCTTTGCCACCTAAAAACATCACTGCTCCGTCCCGCCCACCTCCGGGACTGACTGGTCAGAAGCCACCCTTGTCTACGTGGGATAATTCTCCCCTTCGTGTAGGTGGAGGATGGGGAAATTCTGACGCCAGATATACCCCAGGTAAGATGCAGTACATAAGGTGGTTTTCTGTGGTTTATTTGCAGAACGCTAACCAGTACTAACAGTCGAATTTAATAGAGACCTGAACAGTAGACTATTGCGTTACCCTCTGTCAGATGGAATGAGAACTCAAAGAAATGATCCACCCAAAGACACACAACAGGCCACAGTAAACTTAATGGATTGGGAAGCTCCATTGTCTCAGATGTTCCTCAAGACTACATCTTAAAATGTGTAGTAACTTCCTGCTCGTGGCAGGCTTAAACCACATCACATGGAGCAGAAACCAGTATTGGGCAAGTCTGAAACTGGACCTTGAAGAATAGGGCCTGTTTGGGTGGTCACTTGGCCTGTATTCAACATGAACATTTGAGAGTGAAAGAGGGTGCTGTTGACTAATCATACAGGGCCAACAGCCATAAGCCAGAAGGCCCCGGCAAACTCTCCTCATTCTATAAATGGCTAGCATTGGCATCATGCTCTGCCTGCACCGGCTCCACACCATACACACACACACACACACCCAGATTAACCTAGCAGTTTCCGCAGTAAATACAGTCTTATCCTTCACTCTACCTTGCTTGCAAACTATACCACACATTCCCGTCTTCAAGCTGAAAATGAGTAATAAAACCTCATCAGTATTTTCTGATCGAATGTGTAATTTCTGATCTTTAGACAGGTGATTGGCTGTAGGAAAACTTGCAGCTTTTCCTTTGGGTGGGGATTAATTCACAGGAAAAGAACACTGAAGTCCTTGCCAAGCTTCCGAATGCCAGTTAACATAACTGGTGTGATGTGAGTGGTTTTTGCAGGCCACAGACATCTATCTGGGTTCCAGCTAAGACTGGCAGCACACAGCGAGGGGCGCTAGTGAAAGTGGCCAGGAGCCTACCCCAGGGAGCCTTGATGCAGTTGAGTGGGATCAGGAAACCTGTAGGAGTAAGCCAGGTGAAGCCGAGGGGCAGGCTCTGCCAAGGCCCAGACACCTGAGAAAGCACAGACACTCCCGTTGGAGTACTGAGAGGATTGTCGGGGATGGGAGAATTCCGTGAGAAGTGGATAGGCATGAGCTGTGTCATGGAATGGTCTTTCCAATCACCCTGAAGTGTTTGTGAGGCGCCTTGAGTCATAGATGGGGTCAGGGGTGAGGCTTTACTCCCAGGGGGAGAGTGGATGCCATGGAGGCCCAGCAGGAAGGCCAGATGGGTAGCCTCTGCAGTAACGCAGGTGAAAACAAGGAACATCTGTGTGATGGCAAGCTCTGGAATCCCCTTAAAGCGTCACACCCTGAAGGACACACAGGCAGAGTACTCAGACATTACTGAAGCCTTCCTCAGAGGGTATCGTTTGAGATGATTTTAGCTCCTATCAATGAGAAGATCTCAAAGAGAGAATGGCTGGGTTTTATGGCTCACTGCCTTCCCATGTGGTAAGCTGGGAGCCATTCTGAGCTCACTCTCCCCAGAGGCAGGGCCCCCTGCCATGGAGTTAATGCCTGGCCATGGCTAGAGGGAGCTCAGATTGTGAGCCTAGGGAGAAAGCATCCCTTGTAGAAGTGCAAGGAAATAAAGGAAGCCAGGATGCAGAGTGATCTGCAGAGTAACTCTAGCTGTATTTATCCAGACCTGGAAAACTGACTTGTCCGTTTTTCCTCGTTTAGGTTCCAGCTGGGGTGAGAGCAGCTCAGGGAGAATAACAAATTGGCTTGTTCTAAAAAACCTTACACCTCAGGTAAGGATACCAGATAACCCTGGTTTATGTGGCTATGTCAGGGAGCATGGGAACAGAGGTTCGGGTCTGGGTGTGAGACGAGGGCTTCTAGGTGGTAGTGAGCCCAAGCAGAGGAAGTACCAGAGGACTGGTCTGTAGACCTCAGGCAGGCTCTGGTCAGATCCTGTGGTTCACGCCATAATGTGCCTGGGAACCAACCAAAAATACAGATTCCTGGGTCTCGCCCAGAGATCGATTGAGTCAGTAGATCTGGGCGAAGAGCTGGGACTCTGCATTGGTTTGAGGGCCTGCAGATGAATTTGACAGAGGTGGTCCTTATTCGCATGTGGAGAACCTCTGGTCTGCCCCAAAGTGAGAGCATTTTCTTAGCCCCTGGCCTGCCCCCTCCTCTGGAGGCTGGGTGTTAAGCGCCCACCTCCTCCTCCCCCAGGGAGCAGAGCTTTGATGGATGCTGTCCTCAGGGCAGGGAAGAGAGAAGACATGGAGTCATAGCAGGGACAATGGCTCATAAGGAATTGGGGATCTGGGGAGTGTCCAGGAGTCTAGAGGCCGGAAAGGTATGGCTCTGGGAGCAGTGGAGGTGGGGAGGGTGGCTCTGCACCCAGTTAGAGCAATGAGTGTCAGTGAAGAGTAATGCCAGCACAGAGCCTCAGGGAAGAGAGGAGGGACAGCAGTGCAGCCTGGGATGGCCTCCCAGAGGACCCTCAGTGACCCCTCACTGGTGGTTCCCACGCTGTTTCCTAGATCGATGGCTCAACTCTGCGCACTTTGTGCATGCAGCATGGCCCGCTGATCACATTCCACCTGAACCTCCCTCACGGAAATGCTCTGGTCCGCTACAGTTCAAAAGAAGAGGTAGTGAAGGCACAAAAGTCTCTGCACATGTAAGTTGGCCGTTGGACTCCCAGTTGGAAGAGTCTTGGGGAAGAAGTTATGAGAGAGTACAGCCTGGCTTGGGGCAGCACACAGGGCCCTGTGTGGGTGGGTCCTGTATGGGTGGCTCCTGTGGGCCGCAGCAGTGCCCTCATTCCGAGATTGGCACTCCTAAGCGGGGGAAGCAGACCTGACCAAATGGCCCTAGAAAGTCCCTTACATTACCCGTGGGAGACCGAGGAAGTTCACTCTGGGTGAAGCACCAGGCCCCAGAGAGCTGTTGGCGCACGCTCGGTAAAGGGAGGGCTCACAGGTCATGTGGTGTGGTCTCTCCCTCTGCGCGCTCCGTGGCTTTTCTAGCAGAGACAAGTTGCACCCTCACTGGGAGTTAATGAAGCCCTCCTGACGCACCGTCCTCACGTGTCCGCGGTGCCTCTCTCCTCTAGGTGTGTACTGGGGAACACTACTATTCTTGCTGAGTTTGCCAGTGAAGAGGAGATCAGTCGTTTCTTTGCACAAAGCCAGTCTCTGACCCCTTCTCCCGGCTGGCAGTCTCTCGGGTCCAGCCAGAGCCGGCTGGGCTCCCTCGACTGTTCCCACTCATTCTCCAGCCGGACCGATCTCAATCACTGGAATGGTGCTGGGCTGTCGGGAACTAACTGTGGAGACCTTCACGGCACTTCACTCTGGGGGACCCCGCATTATTCCACAAGCCTGTGGGGTCCTCCAAGCAGCAGCGACCCCCGAGGAATTAGCAGCCCATCTCCCATTAACGCTTTTCTTTCTGTTGACCACCTGGGTGGGGGTGGAGAGTCCATGTAACAGTGTAGATGCAGACTCACCGACCGGGACCTCAGACGCGAGGGAAAGGAGCACTAAGTGGGGCTCGCCGCCTGCAGCCAGGGGCCGCCTGTGGGAACAGCTATTCTCTGCACATTTTCCACTTTGTTTTCCCCAGAACATATCAGTTTGAATACTTGAATCATGCAGGCCAATATTATAATGTGAAAAGGTATCTACTCTATTTACACTCCCAAATAGCGCCATACATGCTAAACCGTAGAGAATGAGCTCGCTTGTGTCTATTCATCATGTTTAGCCTTCGGATTTTTTTTCCTTCTATTCCTCCCCCTTTCCCTTTTTTTCTCTCTTTTTTGCGAAACCATATTTTGGGCTGATAACGTATGAGCTTTTCCCTTTGCACTGAATGATGTTCTCTCCGTCTCATCGGCAGTATGGGGGGCAGCTGTCCCAGTGTCAATGTTTACTCAAGGGTGTTCTTAGGAGGCGTGCGCTCTCTACTATGCCTTGATGTTGCCTACCTTATTGTGGTATCGTGGAGTTTAAAAGATCAAGTTAGGATGCTGACTTAGGATTATTAATGAAAGTGTTGCACCAGTTTTTTCATGTTGTAAAACTAAAGAATTTCGCTCTGCAGTTTGAAAAACTGTGGCCACAGCTGTGACTTGCAGCCCACCTGCCACCCAGGACGGGCCCTGCACTTTGAATAGGCTTTCCATTTTGTTTTGGAGGTTCCCACGTTGAACCTTCTTGTTTACAGATTTTTTTGTTTGTTTTTTGAGAAAAAAGAAAATGTTTACTCTTCCATCATTTAAAAAAAAAGTAAAAGACAAAAAAAAAAAATGGAGGATGATTTAAAAGATGCTTTCTATCTCTGGGAAAAAGGAGCAGCATTTGGCCATGTTCTTTTGTTTTTCTATTCCTGTCCTAAATCAAAGAGCATGGTTCTCAGGAAAACCAGTTCCCCAGTTAAAA